CAAATATAGCAAATCCACTGTGCATAGTTACATCTTTATAAAACAAAACAATGCCAGGATAATGGTATGTGATCAGCATTACAATTCCAAAAATACCAAGACAACTACTTATCTGACACTTGTCTTACTATTTCTCTAACATTTATCTAAAATTATTTCAATTATTTCTTTTCTTGGAATGCATAACTTGACTCATTGATTTGTGATTCTCAGTTCAGAGGAAATGTAACAACAGGGACTAGAAACACTTTTTAATTCAATGTCCAATGAAGGTTGGGGAGGACTCCATCCTTGACTCATTATATGATTCCTCATAAACTCATTACAATTGGCCTGACTTTCATTAATTCATGAGCATTTATTGAGCACCACATGCCAGGCCTGTGCTAGTGCTGGAGATGCAAAGACAAGGGCAAGTTCAATCCATGCCCTCAATGAGTTTACAGCCTAAAGACGACTTTGACTACCAGGCCTTCATTATATAGAGCCACATCCTAGGACTTTGGAGAATCAGCTTTCTTCTGGAGACTTAAAGATATCCCTATTTACTTTTGTGTCATTTATTTGAAGAAAAACAAAAATAAGTATACATAGGATACATGAATAATAAAAAACACTATTTTATGAGACTCAGAATGCTAATTTTAGGATCTTTGCCCTTCTCAGTTGATTTTTGTGTCCCTCAACTGTTTAGTCTGCAGGACAGATATCACATCCTGCTGTGCAGTTTATAAAATGTCCTTAAAATTAGAAGAAAGAAAGACCTTTTCTTCCTGGGTTTAAGACCCACACATCTGAGGCTGTAGGCATTTCAGATCCCTCTGGTGGATGGACCAAAATGATAAACAATACTGTGAGATAAATGCTTTAAACATCATCTGCTCTTTCATCTGAATTCCCTATTCATTATTCAGCAAAATTCAGTTTTCATATAACGATTTCAGTAGTTCTAGGGCACTAGAAAAGCAGTAATAGGCATGGCCATAAAGCCTACAATATTTATAATCTAATGAGGGAGACAACTAAAAGAAAGGGGGAATAAAAGCATCTTCAACAGAAACACCCTTTGCCAACCAACTAGAGGTATAGAAAGGATATTAGGTAATTAGTGACCACTAATTTAAAGATAAATATTTATTGAGTGCCAGACATTGTTTTAGGCACTGGGTATATAGCAATAAACAAAAAAACAAAAGTGCCCGCTCTCAATGGAGTTTATATTCTCAATTGTGGAGACAGACAATAAGCAAATATTTATATATAATATGTCAGATGGTGGTGACAGGCACTATGGAAAAGAATAAAGCAGGGCCCAGAGAGAGAGAGGGTAGGATGGGGTAGAGGTGGGATGGTGTGGAGGGCTGCTGAGATGGGATGGAGTAGATGGCTGCTTTTTCATGTAGAATGGTCAAGGAAGTCTGTACCTGTGTGTATCATTTGAACGGAGGCTCTGAAGAAAGTGAGGAAGAATGAAGGCAGAGATGTGAGAAGAGAGGGTTACAGGAAAAGACAATGAGAAGTGTAAGACCACGGAGTGGAAATGTGTTTGCAAGTGTGTCTAAGGAACAGCTAGGAGGCCAATGAGGCTAAAGCCAAGTGAGCAAAGATGGGAGTTGAGGAGATGACAGGTCACGATGCGCACAGCCAACACAGTGGGCAGGAAATCACAAGTCCTTTGAATTTACTCTGCATGAGTTGAGAGGCCACTGGAGGGTTTGGAACCAGGAGGCATATGCCCTAACTCATTTGAGAAGGATAGCAGTGTCTGGCTGTCCTGTGAATAAGTGGCCGTAGGAAGGAAGCGGGGAAGCAGGCAGTTGGGAGGCATTTGCAATAATTCAACCAACATATGATAGTGGCTTGGTCCAGGGTGCTGGCAGAAGGTATGGCAAGAAGGGAGGGGTTCTGGACAATCTGGAAGGTAATGCCAATAGATCTGTATGTGATAAAAAGTTGGATGAATGGTTAAAAAGATTTCTGCAAAGAAACTGTGGGTTGTGGGTAAAACTAGTAATTCCAATGTAAGTGAACAACAGAGAAATACAAAACAGACACATTTCCTACTTCTACAAAAACTAGAATTATCAAGAAAACGACATGAAGTTTATATCCAGTATTGTTAGCAGGAAGCCTCATCCCAAGTAGGTATTGTTCCTTGACCATTTTAGCAAATGAGAGCATGAGGCCATCATAATGAACAAAACATGCCATCATGATTTATAAAGAAGCATCTGGAGTTTTAGTAATATAGTTAGGTGAGACTAAAATTATATTAATCATAAAATTAAAATATCTTAACAATATTCTTAGCAATTTCAGTTTTACCATATCCTTTTGAAATCTAATTTTGCTATATGCTTCGCAACATAGGGGTGGGGGAAAGAGAGAAATGTATGAGATAATTTATAAATAAAAATACACATAAAGTATAAGCATTCTCAACTGATGGTCAGAAAATATGGAAGGTGTTTAAGACTCTAGCAGAAACATACCATAAACAAGATTTTAAGACTGAGAGTAGAGGTTTAGTGGGGTTCAAGGTGAAAGGCAGGGGCAAGAAGCTGGCAAGAAGAGGGAAGGGATACCAATTCTAATTTGCCTCTGTAATGCTTTACATTTACCAAGGTTCCACAAATGGTATCTGATTCCATCCTCATAGCAACCCTATGAAGTAAGTCAGAAAAGACGATGTCTCTTTTCCTAAGGAATGAATTGAGACTTGGGTTGAGATACTCTCCAGAGCTTACTCAGATAGGAAGTGACAGGGCCAGGATTCATATTAGGGCTTCTGGCTCCACAGACAGTTCTCCTTAAGACACTCAATAAATATGTTTGACAAATTAAGTGCTTACTCTTGGCTGAGTGTGGTACTAGGTGGTGTGGCAGCATCTCAAAAAGGGGGAAAGTCACTCCCTCAATTCCCATGTGGCCTTTAGTCTGAGACTAGGGAGATTAAACAGATGCCTGAGAAGTTGTTTATTACATTTACAAAGCAACACATTTGTAAAAGTGAAATAATAAATTTAGCCCATAAGGACTCTGGGGGCAAAAAGTAAAAATTAGAGCATTAGTCATTACAGCAAATAGGGTTAACAGGTGTGATGGAGCTCCTTTGGTGTAAGTCAGCTTAAACTGACAAGTAAAGAGAGCAATTCACTGGCTCCCAGATCTGATAACTACAGGTTGGTAGGGCATAAGAAATACCACCAGGAAGCCATGTCTCTCATTACCCAACACTGGTTTGCCGTGCCTTCATTTTATTCCCAGGCATGCTGTCACCAGGTGTTGGTAATCTGACCCCAGCAACTCCTAGCTAAATCCTACAAGTTTAGTTCTCACAATAGAAAAGAAAGCACTTCTTTTCTAATGGCACCAGCAAAACAGGGCTCTGCCAAACTTGGGTTTTGTGCCTGTCTCAGAACCAATCACTAGGCATAGGGGAGTGCCGTGCTCTGATTGGTCAGCTCTGGGTCACATGCCCACTCTTGGGTAGAGGCAGGGTCAGCCCTGCCAGATGAGCATGGTCTGAGGAAGAAGACGGTTGTTTCCCCAGGGGAAAATAGAAGTGCCCCTACTAGAAGGGAGGGTCAAATCCCTTCTGTCAGGAGGGCAAAATGACAGATTCACTAAAATAGGTTGATGACTGAAGAAAATAATTTTGTTCCTAAATTTAAGGGAGTATTTCAGTTGTTTGTTTCTAATCTTATGGAATTCTACACTGGGAGGGAGTTGGTGCAGGAGATTCATGATATGCAGGCATAGGCTACAGAATGCTGCTTTGAGTTTTTATCCTTTACTTTTCCTTTCCTTTAAGCTTTGACACGATTTATTCATGCAGGGATGCCCTGAAGTGAGCCTCATCATCTTTTTTTTTGAGATGGAGTCTTGCTCTGTCACCCAGGCTGGAGTGCAGTGGTGCAATCTTAGCTCAATGCAACCTCCACCTCCCAGGTTCAAGCATTCTTTTGCCTCAGCTTCCTGAGTGGCTGGGATTACAGGTGTGCACCACCATGCCCCACCACACCCAGCTAGTTTTTGTATTTTTAGTAGAGACGGGGTTTCACCATGTTGGCCAGGCTGGTCTCAAACTCCTGACCTCAGGTGATCCACCCATCTCGGCCTCCCTGAGTGCTGGGATCACAGGTGTGAGCCACCGTGCCCAGGCCTCATGGTCTCTTTATTGTACCTTTTCTAGTCTCTGCTTTCCTGAAGCCAGAGGTCTTCCTATCTCCGGAAGCTCAAAGACAGACTTTCAAACCCCTCCCAACCACTTGGCCTTTTGTGATGACTTCTTCCCTTCAAGGCTGCCTTTAGTAACCTATTACTGAAGAGGCGAGAGAAAGCCCTCAGCCTTCTCCACTTTCACCTCCCTGGGCTCCCCAAGTTTGGCTGACTCCTCTTTTCAAGTTCACATTTTCTCCTTTCCACAGAGGTTTGCAACATTACCTTTAGGAAATCCTCTCCAGTCTCTATCATGTTTCAACAGTTCTTTACCCCATGCTCTTATCCCTGTCTCCCACCAATCATATCCACCGGCCTTATTGACCGCTTGTGAGAGTTAGAATTTTGGAGACTGGTCATGTGTCACAAAATCCTGCTTTAGAAGGCAGAACACTCCATTTCCTACTCGTCCAAAGCACTTTATCTCTCAGGCCTCTCCTCCTGTAGCTCTGAAGCTAGGTTGATGAGATTCCCAAAGGGGAGCATTTAGTGATCTGAGTGCTTTGATGAAATTGATTAGGTAAAAGGAAACATATTTTTTGCAACTACTGTAGCCTGTAGGAACAATAAGTTGTGTAAATGCAATGTTTTGCCATTTTTGAAATAATGAAGGTTCTTTGTAATTTTAAATATTCTTTTGCAACAAGAGATTGTTTTCCAGCAGTAAAATAGCCAGAATGTTTGATGTGAAATGTTTAAAAAATATATACTGCCTGATATCTTTAGAGCAGCACTTTCATTATCAATGATGGATTTAACATTTTGTTGAATTTTTCTAGCTTCTCTCCTGAAGGGTTTGAAACATGCCAATATTGTGCTTCTGCATGACATAATCCACACCAAAGAGACACTGACATTCGTTTTTGAATACATGGTGAGTTGTTCGAGCATTTTACAACACATGAGAAAAATAGCCTGGTACTTGTATAATGAATCTGTTAATATTTTATGGCATGATAAAACTTTTATTACACAATGTGGAAAGTATCATGGAAATATTCATTATTGTGATTAGTAGAACCTTATTGTTCCCACATCCGTCTTTGGTCCTGCTTCCTTACCCATGACTTTTGCTGTCCTTTTTCCCCTCATCAGCAATAATAAATGAGGATCTTGAGTTTACCTCCTAAATAAAGCCTTTGCACTTATTTTTAATCTAGTTTTAATCACTATCTGAGCAGAATCCAACATTTTTTTCATTGACAATAAAGGTAAAAATCACAAGATATTTAAAAATTGTATGCAAGCTTGCTAAAGAATAACTCATGTTGTATTTTTGGAAGAAAAAATATTTAAATAAGCAGAAAGAACTTGTAAGGTATGTGTACTTGACTTGCCTCCAAGGACACTTGGAGAGTGAAAAATTCCTGCGTCGTCGTGTTCAGTGCCAGTCATTTAAAATGAGCATCTCTGTGCTGAGAAACAGGCTTTGTTCTAAGAGCCACCAGTTAGAAAGACACACTGTGTTTGACCTTAACAGTGGGTTCTCAGAAAACCTGGTTATATTCCTTTTGTACCTTTTTCTTAAAATTCTGTACTTCGTAATACCTTCTGACAGTCAAGTCAATGTTCTGCTTTAGGAAACTATCCAAGCACCACTGAATTCACTCTCTTCTCTTTCTCTGCTGTTTTATTTAGCACACAGACCTGGCCCAGTATATGTCTCAGCATCCAGGAGGGCTTCATCCTCACAATGTCAGAGTGAGTACGTTAAGGGTCAGGACCCTCTCCTGGCTTGCCCACAGAAGGAGAGTTCTGAAACAGACTGCCTCACAACGCAAAGTCCTATGATACTAAATAAGAGGATGGACATCACTGATATTCCAGAGAAAAGTTTTGTTTTTGTTCTTTTTTTAAAAAAAAAAAAAGGAAAGAAAGAAAGAAAAAAGAAAAAGAGTTGCTGAGTTGCCCCTTAAGATATAGAGCAATGTTTTCTGAGCAACCTAATGCTGTCAGTCATGGCCACATGCAAATGTGTCTTTAGATGAATAAACAAGTGAAGGAGAATTATACTAAAAGGAAAAAACTAAAGCTAGGCCATCGTAAAATAAATACCTTCTTCCTATCAGATTACTGCGGTCTGTGATGAAGTCTGCAATACTTGTTCTAGCAGATCCTATTATATATGTGGCCCTAATTCCTATTTTTCCAGTCATTAGAATAGAAATAATAATAAACTTTTAACTAGCTATAATTCTACATGTTATAAATTTTAGAAACCATTTATATTTCATACTTTTCATTCCCTAAGGTTTTATTGGCATTAATTAATTGATTGGCTCTTAAAATAACCATATGAAATTTGTATATGATATATTTATTCATTTAACTAATATTTATTTATGTATTCATTTATTCATTCATTTAAGAAATATTTATTGAGTACTTAGTGCTGTAATAAGTTCTGGGGTTTCAATAATGAATAAGTTGTGTTTCTTATTTTCAATGAGCTTAAAGTCCAGTAAGATATATGAACTTAAATAGGCAGTGAGGGCCACCCTTCAAGCGACAGCAACGCAAGATGGCAGCCACCATGGGCTCAGGCAATTTATGAAAACAGAATATATAGCCTTAAAATAGAATGTGGACCTAAATACCCAGAAGCACTCCCCTTTGTAAGATTTGTAACAAAAATTAATATGAATGGAGTTAATAGTTCTAATGGAATGGTGAACCCAAGAGCTATATCAGTGCTAGCAAAATGTCAGAATTCATATATCATCAAAGTTATCCTTCAAGAGCTTCAGCGCCTAATGATGTCTAAAGAAAATGTGAAACTCCCTCAGTTACCTGAAGGACAGTGTTACAGCAATTGATCAAAAAGAAAAATCACAGGCCCTTCCCTCTCCCCAACATTTGGTGTAAGCAGTCTTCATTTTCCACAGTAGTAAATTTTCTAAATACATCTCATAGACCTCAAAGTACTGGAAAGGAAGCTCCTATTCAAAGGAAGTTTATCTTAAGATACTGTAAATGATACTAATTTTTGTATGTTTGAAATATTTAAGTTGTTAGCCTGGCGCGGTGGCTCACGCCTGTAATCCCAGTACTTTGGGAGGCCAGGGTGGGCAGATCATGAGGTCAGGAGTTTGAGACCAGCCTAGCCAACATGGTGAAACCCTGTCTCTACTAGAGATACAAAAAATTAGTCAGGTGTGGTGGCACATGCCTGTAACCCCAGCTACTCAAGAGGGTGAGACAGGAGAATTGCTTGAGCCCAGGAGGTGGAGGTGCAGTGAGCAAAGATCGCACCACTGCACTCCAGCCTGGGTGACAGGGCAAGACTCCATCTCAAAAAAAAAAAAAAAATGTAAGTTGTGCTATAATTAATAAATAGGTGGTGAGAATCAAAGTGCTAAAGCCTATGGCCGTAGTAACTAGGAATACTGTGGGAACACATAATAAGGGAACCTAACCCAGTCTTGGAAGTAAGGTTTTGGAAAGGAATGTTTGAGAACAAAGGGTTGAGAAGAGTGAAAAAAAAAAAAAAATTAAAATACCAGTGAGCTGTGTGGAGAATGGGATAGGGAGCTAACTAGAGAAACCAAATAGGAATGTTTCATGATGTGTTAAGGACCCTGGTAAGGGTGAAGACCATTACATTATCTGTACAATCGTGGGATTTTTTTTTATGGTAATGCTTGGCAATTTGAATAGAGGAGCAGAGAATGTAGACAGTTGGATTGAGTCAGAGTTGAAGTTCTGCCAGACATATGAAAGGAAGAGACAGGTAGGCAAGAGAGTTGAAGAGATTATCAAGACAGAAGTTAAGGTGTTGGCCAGTGGTATCTAGTCTGAGTCTAATCTGAGCGAAGGAAGTGAAGATAAGCAGCTTGCTGATAGTTATGAAGAGAGTGGAAGGGTTCAAGGACCTGGAGGTGTTGATTAAATAGAAGAATGGTTGGAGAAAGAATAACTGTGAGAGAGTGAGATTTTCAGGCTTGAGTGACTCTCACATAGCAGACACTGTGCTAAATGCTTCGAAGGAAAACTAGGCATAAAAGATATGATCCCTGCCCTCAAGGGAGTACAGCCAAAAACAAGAGATAAGAAATAGGCACCAATACTATTACAGTACACTTGTGTAGAATGTCAAGAAAGAAATACAATCTAGTACTATAGATGTGCAAGGGCATCAAAGATATCTTCTAGTTTTAAGAAGTTTGAGATCTTAGGCCGGGCACGGTGGCTCACGCCTGTAATCGCAGCACTGTGGGAAGCAAGGTGGGTGGATCACAAGGTCGGGAGATCGAGACCATCCTGGCTAACACAGTGAAACACCGTCTCTACTAAAAAAAATACAAGAAAAAAAAAATTAGCCGGGCATGGTGGCAGGCGCCTGTAGTCCCAGCTACTCAGGAGGCTGAGGCAGGAGAATGGCGTGAACCCAGGATGTGGAGCTTGCAGTGAGCCAAGATCCTGCCACTGCACTCTACCCTGGGTGACAGAGCGAGATTCTGTCTCAAAAAAAAAAAAAAGAAATTTCAGATCTTAAACACACTGTATTTCAAGAGTCTGGAATAGGAGAGCATGTTACAGGGAGAGAAAATGTTTTCAGCAAAGGTACAAGGTAGGGAAATAGAGGATATGTTCGGGGAAGAGGACCCAAAAGTCATGGCTTGTTAGGGTTAGAGGAAACACAGTGTTTTGCAATCTCTAGGTTCCATTAGTGCGTTTTGAAATCAATATGGTGGTTAGCAACCTGCGTTTTTAAGAATGAAATAAATAAATGAGAAGAGAATAGAAAATATTAGCATGCATTACATTTTGAAAGAACAAATATTATTTTCTGCAACTTTTGCTCCAATTGTAACTGTACTTATATTTTTAATGTATGGATGTGAATACCAGATACATATATATTTCTTACTGTAGACTGCGGTAAAAAAATCTTTAAAGCACTAGCCTGGTCTAACTTCCTTATTTTGCAGAGGAGAAATCCAAGATCTGAGAGGACAAACATTTTGCCTGAGGTTACAGAACCAACTTATGCCATTGCTAAAAGCGATTCTTAGTTAAAATTCTTTCCCACTAGTGCCATAGTTCTGTTGACCTGAAATACAGAATATATTAGTTCTAGTTCTGTTGACCTGAAATACAGAATATATTAGTGAAACAGCATATACAAGTCTGGGGAAATAGATTGGGTAGGTGGCTGAGAGCCTCATTTTCTAAGAAATGTGGACCTTGGGCAGGGTATGGTGGTTCATACCTATAATCTCAGCACTTTGGGAGGCCAAGTCAGAAGATCACTTGTGCCCAAGAATTCAAGACTAGCATGGGCAACATAGCAAGACCTCATCTCTACAAAAAATTTAAAAATCAGCTGAGCATGGTGGCATACACCTGCAGTCCCGCTACCTGGGAGGCTAGGTGGGTGGATCATTTGAGCCCAGGAGTTTGAGGCTGAGGTGAGCCATGATCACACAACTACACTCCAGCTTGAGTGACAAAGGAAGACCCTGTCCCTAAAAAAGAAAGAAATGTGAATTTTATTCCTTGGAGAGTACAGTCATTAGTCATTAAATTTGAGCTGAGAGAAAATGATATGATCAGAAGAAATTCATATCACTGTGGTCTGTAGGATGTATGAAAGGAAAGAAGAGACTAGAGTCAGGGATTCCACTTAAGAATTTTTTGTTTGTTTGTTTTGAGACAGAGTCTCGTTTTGTTACCCAGGCTAGAGTGCAGTGGTGCAGTCATGGCTCACCTCAGCCTCAAACTCCCAGCCTCAAATGATCTTCCCACCTCGGCCTCCCAAAGTGCTGGAATTATAGGTGTGAGCCAAAGAATTTATTGATGTGGCCTGGCCTAATGCTTCTCAAACTTCAGTGAGCAGACAAGGTGACTGGAGACCTGACTCAGCAAGTCTGGGGTTAAACCTGAACCTCTGCATTCTAACATGAGCCAAGCTGATGCAGGTGGTGCTGATCAAGAGCCAAGCACTGAGCAAGGATCTAGTTAGCAATTAGTAATCAAGTACAACATTATGGTAGTGACAATGAGAATGGAGAGGAATGTGAAAATCAGTAACAAAGAAGAGTTCACCTCTTGGTAATGTGAGCATGAGGAGGGAAAGGATGGGGCCAAACATAACTGGTTTTGAGTTTGACTGACGAGGAGAATTGTAGCTCTATTAACAGAAATAGGAGAAGAAGTTGGTTTGGAAAGAAAGAGGAGGAGTCCTGTTTCAGACATGTTGAGGTCCCAGGTGAGACAGAATCTCCAAAGGGAAATGAGCAGTAGGCAATCTAAAAGGAAATCTGTGCTCAGAAGGGAGCTGTGAGCTGGACGTGTAGATCTCAGGGTCTTCAGCACATAGAGTTTAGAAGACAAGGAATAGGCAACCAAAAGAGCAAATACACAAAGAGAGGAGGACTGATGATGAGACTTTTGCCTTTTGGGATGAGAAGAGGAACAGGAAATTAAGGAACGAAGGGAAGCAGCTTATAGGAATGCAGAGCATCTGGAAAAAATTACACACTGTCATGGAAGTTAAGGGAAGAAGCAATTTCAAGAAGGAGGGTATAGTGGACAGTATTGCAAGCATCGGAAATACAGCTAAAAGTCATACTCTTGACTGCATTGACCTTGTGGATTTGTGAGGGACACACTAATAAATAAAGGAATTTATTGTGGGTATATGGAGGCACAAAGGAAGAGGTTATCCAAATCAAAGCAGGTGGGAGTAAGGATGAGTT